TGGACTGGAGGTGTGACTCAAGTGTAGAGCGCCTGCTTTGTGAGTGTGAAGCCCTCCAGTACTGCCAAAAAGAGGAACAAGTTTTAAGTGTTAGGGCAGGGAGGGTCACTTACATTACACTCCCACCAGCTGGGAACCACCACACGCTCACACACACGCTCACACACCACACGTATCAACAGCGTCTAACAGAACATCTGGTGACCGTGCGGGCGATACAATTTCAGTGGCGACACAGTACTCTCTCTAATGTAAGCATCCTCATTTGATAATGTTCCAGTGTTGCGTTTTTGCTGTCGCTGTGATGAGCTCTGCATGTAAATGTGCCAATCTCTGCTTCTTAGCAGACGATGTGCTCTCCAGAAAAAAACTTCTACCAGGAGCACACCGTAAAGGTGCCTTATTGATATTTAATCTTGATTATGTACAGTTTTTTTTTTTAAATGCTTACTATAACAAACTTAAGCACTACTGAGCTGCACCTCAGGAACCACACCTGCGCTGCGTCCCATTCCCAGAGGAAAACGTCACGGATAACTTGCCATGCGCCCTTCCACGTTAACTTCTTTTAATAGAAATTTTTTCTAAATATATAAAATGCCTATAACTTGGAACTACTACAAAAAAAAAAACTGAGTTTTCAGAACTAAACTAAATGTTCAGGATCTACATGAAGAAACAAACTTGGAGAAGCTTCAGGGAAGAAAAGATGTAAGTGGAGACCTACCATGATCTTGGGAGAAGGCTCAAAACTGCAAGGACGGCAGCTCTCCCCAAGTAAGCTCTAATTTTAAGCACAATCCCAATCAAAACTCCAGTGAGTTTGTTTGGTTTAAACTTGCCAAAGTGATTGTAAAGTGCATCTGAAAGAATAAAGAGGTGAGACAGTCAGGAGTGTCAGAGAGGTAGGTGACAAGGGGACTGAGGTGCAGGACCAGGACCACCACAGAGCCATTCAAAGCAGAGGGGAAAGTGTTTCCAAACTGGAGATTGGGACTGCCTGCAACTTGGGGAGAAACATTCAATTCCTACAAACAACTGAGTAATGTCCTTAAAATGGAAAGCAAATATCCCAAAGAAAAATGGGCCATTCATAAAGTAGTTTGTGTGGCCAGTGAACACACAAAACCGTGCTCAGCATCGCGTGTAATGGGAATCAGAAGGCACCACGTTTTTCTATCAAGTCTGCAAACATTTCAAAGGATGGCCTGAGTGCAGGAAAACAGCTCTGCCACCTTCTGCTAATGGGAGGGTCCTGTGTAGCACGAAATTTAGAAACCAGAAATAACACAGGTGTCAGGAAAGTGTCCCTCAACTGACTCTCCTAGTGCTTTTTTTAACACATATTAAAATGTAAGATTCCCATTGCCTTGACCCAGTAATTCAATCTGTACAAATTTATTTCAAGGAATTAGTCTGTCCCATGCACAAGAACACATGTAAAGGAACACTCTCTAGTACACTGCTGTTCATGACAGTAAAAAACTAGAAATCACAGTATAATCTATAAAATGGAGTACTATGCAGCCATTAAAATTGTTGACGTTTTTATTACTAAAATGGGAAAATGGTTATGTATAACGTGAAAAAAAGATTACTGAACAGGGTATATAGTTTTGGGGTTTTTTTTATGGTACTGGGGTTTGAACTCAGGACCTCATACTTGCTAAGTAGGCGCTCTACCATGTGATCCACTCCATCAGCCCATTTTTGTGATGGGTGTTTTCAAGATAGGGTCTCTTGAACTATTTTCAGGGCTGGCCTCTAATACAATCCTCTTGACCTCTGCCTCCCGAGTAGCTGGGATTACAGGCATGGGCCACTGGTGCCCAGCTATAGTTTTGTTTTGAAAACTGACAGATACTCATTTATAAACATCTACCATAGAAAAAAGCTACAAAGTCATACAATGAACTATTGCTGCTGAGTACGTCTAAATGATGGGCTGGCTGTCCTTTGTTTTGCTAATTTTAGCAATGAACATATTATTTGAATAATAAAAATTCTGAAGGGAAAATGAGATTTCGGTGGATGTTATCAGTAATTTACAGTAACTGATGCATGGTCTGTGTTCTCAAATGCGCAAACATTTCAGTCTTACGCATAAACATGTCTTACCTTTTATAAGTCTTTTAATAGAGTCCAACTGTGTAGTAAGAAGTATCTCTTCATTTCTTAGTATCTCAAATTTAACCTCATATAGTTCCAGCTGATTTTCATAGTACTGCATTTCTATCTCATCTACAGTATCTGTTTCTTTCTCTTGTTCTGGAAGGTCTTCTACCTGTTTTCACAGGGAAAATGGATAAATTGAAAATAATTAGTACACTAAAAGCAAACTTTAGAAGCTATCTTCTATTCCTTGCTTAGCACTAAATGTAAAAAAGCAAACAGAGAAGAAACATGTTTCCATCTCACTAGTGACACAAAAATGCCTACTCAGTGTTCATTAAAATACTTTATCTCACCAGGCGCCATGGCTCACACGTATAATCCTAGCTACTCAGGAGGCACAGATCAGGAGGACTGGGGTTCAAGGTCAACCCAGGCAAATAGTTTGTGAGACCCTATCTTGAAAAAACCCATCATACAAAACAGCTGGTGGAGTGGCTCAAGTGGTAGAGTGCCTGGCGAGAGTGAGGCTGAGTTCAAACTCCAGTGCCACTACTATACATACATAAATATATACATATATACATACTTTATCTCATCCCTGAAATGTGAAAATAGTCAGAAGAAGTACGTGGCAATGAGGCACTGCTATGGATGAATTGTCTGCTAAAGCCCTAGCCCCCCATGTGGTGGTACTGGAGGTGGGGCCTTTGAGGGGATGAGGTTACATGAAATCAGGAGAGTGCGCCCTCACAGCGAGACTGGTGCCCATACTAGTGGTCTCTCTCTCCATGGACACACTGAGGAGAGGCCAGGCGAGCACATAGCAAGAAGGCACTGTCTGTAAGCCAGGAAGAGGCCTCAGTACACACTAAATCTGATAGCTCCTTCATCTTGGACATCAGCCTCGAGTTCTGTGAGAATCAAACATCCATTGCGGCCACCCAGTCTACAGTATTTCCTTATCACAACCTGATCTGACAAGACAGGTATTCACACTATCCTGCTTTAAAGTCTGAAGACTACAGGAAACAAGTTAAGTGACTCTGCTCCTGGATGAAGATCCTCTTTGATTATGAAAGACATACTGAATCTGGGGATGGAGCTCTGTGGTAGGACACTGCCTGGTGTTCTGAGACCATGTCCAGGCCCTAGCACCACCAAAAAGATTATAATTATTGCTGACCTGGATTTTAATGCAAATTATTCACTTCAGTCCTGAGCTCAATGTTATTATGAAGTGAGTCCTACAATATAATATTTCAAAACCATCTTGACCAGAGGGAGACTTTCTGGCTAACTTTCCATGGTCTCTAAGGTCTTATCCAGGGCTGGAGGAGTGGCTCAAGCAGTAAGAGGGCCTGCCTAGCAACTGTGAGGCCCTGAGTTCAAACCCCAGTGCTGCCCAAAAAAAAGAAGTTAAAAAGTCTTTTCCAATTCAAATGGCCAAAAAACACATGAAAAAATGCTATCTTTGGCCATAAAGGAAATGCAAATCAAAACCACACTAAGATTCCACCTCACCCCTGTTAGAATAGCCATCATCAAAAACACCACCAACATGTGTTGGTGA